CAACAAGGGATTAATCTCCAAAATTTACAAACAGCTCATGCAGCTCAATAGCAAAAAAACAAACAACCCAATCAAAAAATGGGTAGAAGACCTCAAGAGACATTTCTCCAAAGAAGATATACAGATGGCCAAGAGGCACATGAAAAGATGTTCAACATCGCTAATTATTAGAGAAATGCAAATCAAAACTACGAGATACCACCTCATACCAGTCAAAATGGCCGTCATCAAAAAGTCTACAAACAGGGCTTCTCTGGTGGCACAGTGGTTGAGAGTCCGCCTGCCGATGCAGGGGACACGGGTTCGTGCCCCGGTCTGGGAGGATCCCACATGCCGCGGAGCGGCTGGTCCCGTGAGCCATGGCCACTGAGCCTGCGCGTCCGGAGCCTGTGCTCCGCAACGGGAGAGGCCACAACAGTGAGAGGCCCGCATACCGCAAAAAAAAAAAAAAAAAACCCAAAAAAAAAAAAAAAAGTCTACAAACAATAAATGCTGGAGCGGCTGTAGAGAAAATGGGAACCCTCCTACACTGTTGGTAGGAATGTAAATTGGTATAGCCACTATGGAGAACAGTATGGAGGTTCTTTAAGAGACTAAAAATAGAGCTACCATATCATCCAGCAATCCTACTCCTTGGCATATATCCGGAGAAAAACAAGATTTGAAAGGATACATGCACCCCAGTGTTCACTGCAGTGCTGTTTACAATAGCCAAGACATGGAAGCAACGTAAATATCCATTGACAGATGAAGGGATACAGAAGATGTGGTACATATTGGGTTGGCCAAAAAGTTCGTTCAGGTTTTTCTGTAACATCATACGGAAAAACCCAAATGAACTTTTTGGCCAATCCAATACATACAATGGAATATTACTCAGCCATTGAAAAGAATGAAACAATGCCGTTTGCAGCAACATGGACGGAGCTGGAGATTATCATACGAAGTGAAGTAAGTCAGAGAAAAACAAATATCACATGATATCTCTTATATGTGGAATCTTAAAAAAAATTACACAAATGAACGTATTTAGAAAACAGAAACAGACTCACAGACTTAGAAAACAAACTTATGGTTACCGGGGTGGGGGAAGGGATAGATTGGGAGTTTGGGATTGACAGGTACATACTGCTATATTTAAAATAGATAACCAACAAGGACCTACTGCATAGCACAGGGAACTCCACTCAATACTCTGTAATAACCTAAATGGGAGAAGAATTTGAAAAATAATAGATACATGTATAACTGAATCACTTTGTTGTACACCTGAAACTAACACAACATTGTTAACTATACTCCAATATAAAATAAAAATTAAAAAGAAAAAGATCAATGGTTGCCAGGGCTTTGGGGGAAGGGAGAAAGGGATGAATAGGTGGAACAAAGGGGATTTTTAGGGCAATGAAACTCTTCTGATACTGTAATGGTGGATATATGTCATAAAACCCATGTATAACACAAATAGTGAACCCTAACATAAGCTATGGATGTTAGTTAATAATAATTTGTCAGTATTGTCTTATCAGTTTTAACAAATGTACCACACTAAATGCACGATGTTAGTAATAGGGAAAACTGTGTATGTGACCAAGGATGAGGAAGTATATGGGAACTCTGTACATGCTGCCTAATATTTCTGCAAACCTAAAACCGCTCTCTAAAAGTCTATTAATATTTTTTACATTAGGTGCAGACAAATACCGTTTGATTCCACTCATACAAGGTACCTAGAATAGCCAAATTCATAGTGTCAGAAAGTACATTGGTAGATGCCAGGGACTGGGGGTGTGGAGGTGGGGAGTGGGAAAGGGGAGTTAGTGTTTAATGGGGATAGAGTTTCAGTTTAGGAAGGTGAAAAATTCAGGAAATGGATGATGGTGAGAGTTGCATAACAATGTCAATGTACTTAGTGCCACTGAACTGTACAGTTAAATATGGTTAAAGTAGTATGTTTTACATTATGTGACTTTTACCACAGTAAAAAAAAATTTTTTAAGTCTGTTAATATTTTTTATATGAGACTATAACATGGATATTTTTGTAACTTGCTTTTTTCCACTACTATGTTCATATATTATTAACATATTTCCAGGGATTCAGCCTGGACAGGGTGGCGATGGGAAAGTTAGTCAAGGATAGAGATGAGACTGTGGAAGGAGGATGATTCAGAGGATGTGGGAATTTAGAGGCAGGGGATGTTTTATTCAAAAGACCCACAGAGGAGAGGGACTAGAATTTGAGTGGACCAACAGACGAACTAAGCCCTTGAGTCTGAGCGTCTCCAGCAAGCTGGGAATTCGAGCAGGGCAGGGAATTTCAGTTCATGCTCAGGGAGTCCCAGTCCCCTGCTGGCAAGAGGCTGGCATGACAGGATTGAGCAAGTCACTCCTGAGCTCAGCAACAACCTTCCTGCTAGGGTGGAGTGAGCAGGTACAAAAGACAAGCAATCTTGATGGTCAGTTGTCTGAAATTTCCGTAACAGGAATCTGCTGAGGCACGTGGGAGCCTGTGAGGGACCATGGGAAGGCTGGTCCACTTAAGCCAGGATGTGTGCACATTAACCTTGGCTTCCCACCTGACGCTGCTGTGACCCTTCTGAGTCACATTCCTTCGCCTGGGCATCCTCCTGCATGGCTCTCAGCCCAACTCCCACCAGGCAGGGAGGATGTGCCTGTCACAAGACTTCCTATGATCTTTGGGGATGTCTTAGGAAAACACCGAAGAGTGTGGTTCAGTTGGCCTGGGCCCTGTGTCCCTCACCCTGGGGGCCACAATAGGGGCTGGGCCCCCAATCCTTAGGCACAGAATCACCATTCAGGGACTTCCCTGGTGGCGTAGTAGTTAAGAATCCGCCCGCCAATGCAGGGGACACAGGTTCAAGCCCTGATCCAGGAAGATCCCACATGACATGGAGCAACTGAGCCCATGCGCCACAACTACTGAGCTTACGTGCCTAGAGCCCGTGCTCCGCAACAAGAGAAGCCAGCGCAACGAGAAGCCTGTGCACCGCAACGAAGAGTAGCCCCCACTCGACACAACTAGAGAAAGCCCGTATGCAGCAACGAAGACCCAACGCAGCCAAAATAAATAAATAAACAGAAATTGTTAAAAAAAAAAAAAAAAAAAGAATCACCATTCAGAGGAGGGACACATTCATGCTTCTTCCCATCTGGCTTTTCTGCATCCTGCTAGCAGTGGATACACTTTGCTAAGTGTTGAGTCCTATCAGAGGAAGAGATTCCTGCCCCTGCCTCCTGGATTTCCTTAGGAAACAGTGAGGCAGGGGCATCTCACAGTCCCCCATACCACACCATGAGGAAGTCACAGCACTTCCTGCCCTTACTCTCTCCTCTGTGGTAGGTCAGATGGTGGGAATGCAGAGGAGAGGTGCCACCTTCTGAGAGGAATGAGGTGTCCAAAACAGAGTTCCCTCCCAAACACTCAGGGCAGCCTCTTTGTCTTTCTGCGTCCCAGTTCTCTCCTCCCACCCCCAAACATGCCTGGTGTCTGAACACTAGGATGCCACACCTGCCCCCTTTCTGTGTCCCTAGTCCCATTCTCTTCCTCATGTTCTGTGCATCTAGAGTTTCTCTGTGATCTCTCTTGCTGATCCAGTGTTCCAAGGGCACATTCAACCACCCTTTTATACCCACACGGGCCCTCAGTTGGCCACCAACTCCTAGGCCCTAATAGAAACTTGCCATGGTAACTTCCAGAATCTACCTCTACTTCTGCCTCCAGCTTTGGTTCTCCATACTACTCCTTCCACCCCACAGCCATGGTACCTTCCCAGATCCTCACTTACCCTTTTGAGTCTTTGCCCAAATTCTGTTACATGTGAGCGAAACCCTTCTTCTCCTAATACACAAAGTCTTACCTCATTAATGCTTCCTTCTTTCTACTAACCACCAGCAAAGTGTCTGTGCTTTTTCCAAGGCCATCTCATGAACTTGGACATTCACTCCCATCCCCTCACCTCTACACCACTACATGGCTCCAGCAGTTCTCCCTGCATCATCAGTTTACCCCTCCTCGACTGCATCATTTCTGTCAACATCCAACATCTTATGTCTCTCATCTTTTTAAAAAAAAAAAAAACCCTCTCTGGGTTCCACTTCCTCCTACAGCTCTAGCCCCATTTTTCTGCACCTCTGTGGAACAAACCTCCTTTGAAGGAATTGATTACACTTGCTATCACCACACTTGCTATCACCAATTGCTCTCCTCTCATTCTCTCTTGAATCCACTCCACTTCACCTCCATCCCACGCGAGTCTGTTCTTCTCAAGGCCATGAGTGATCTCTGTGCTGCTAAATCTAGTGGTCAACTCCACACCCTCATCTTCCTTGGCCAATTCACAACTTTTCATGCAATTGATCATTTTCTCCTTGCAATATGCCAGTATGCCACACTTTTCTGGATTTCCTCCTTCCTCCCTGGCTCCTGCTTTTCAGTCTCCTCTGCTTACTTGTTCCTCTTTTTCTTCCCAATTTCTTAACGTTGGAACGTCCCAGAGCCAAGTCCTTAGATCTCTCCTTCACTGATACTCATTCCTTTAGTAACCTTATCTGGTCCCACAATTATACATCCATCTCTCCATCTCTTTCTCTCTCTCTCCAGCCAGGACGCTGCCTGAGCACTATAAGGCTTCTGTGTTGAGAACAGACTGTTGGAGATACGGTCTCAGGAAGAAGCAGGAGATTGTGAAACTATTGTAGTATTAGTAGCAGCAGAGGAGGTAAGACAAGGTCATTTTCTGAATTTTGAAGGTAGAGACAACAGGATTTACTAATAGACCAGAAGCAGATTGTTAGAAGCAAAAGTCATGGCTGACACCAATATTTCTGGTCTGAACAACTGGCAAGAGAAAGGTGCCATTAACTGATGTGGGAGCAGGTTTGGTATGTGTGATTGGGTGGTGGTGGTGGTCTGGGGAATCAGGTCACTTTTGAAACAAATACTGGACATCCGAGTATATACACTTTTGATTAGACAATTTGGGCATATGAGACTGTCTACCCCATAAGATAATGATCTGCATGGAGGCAAGGCCTGTGTCTAGGTGACTGTTGTGTCTGGCATAGTTCCTGGCACACAGTAAGTACTCAAACATTTTAATTGTTGAATGCAAGATGCCTCTCGAAGTCATTTTTATTGTGACTCTTTGAAGACATTATCATCAACTGATTTTCATTCTAGGAGGCATTTATTCCATGCAGCTGAAAGGCAGTGGGGGGTCAAACAGGTAACAGGGCTACAGCAAGCTCCCAGATGGGTTACCCCTTAAAATCTAATCAATAACAACAGGGTGCAGAGAGGGGAGATTCTATCAATTGCTTCTGACATCTATCATATTAGCTATGTGCCTTTGACAAACACAAAGCACCTCTTCAAGAATGAAGCACTGTTAACACTCCTCTAAAAACCTTCCCTCCGGATTGTGGGAATATATAAAAGTTATCAATGAATTGTGCCTGTGGGCCAAAAGTGCACTGGATTCTTGCCTACTACTTCTTGTACTACATCATGCACACTTTGCTCCTCTGGGGCCCAAAGACAACACAGGAAGCCATGACAGAAGTCAAGCCTGATCTTTACCTCCAATGCATCTTAGACGAGGGTCTTCCTTCTCTGCTCAGGTCCCTTTATCCACAGTCCAGGGTGGAGCTGAAAGAGTTGTGTGGAATGCTGGCCCATTTGTAAAATGGGTTTAAGCTCCCATACCATATGGGAAGTACAATCTACCTCCTCTACTCTCTCCGTCACATATCACATTAAAAACAAAGAGGCACAAACAGGTGGTTCTTTGCTTAGAGGTACACAGTATATTTGGAGAGGGCCCTGCCTCACCTGCATATTAATGGAAATGATGATGACAGCCTTCTTCAGGAGGATGCAGAAGTTTGGGAACCTATGAACTCCTTTTTCCTGGACTGGGTATTCTCCTTGTATAGACAAGTGCCTTCTGCTGAGGTGAGAGTTGAGACATGGGATGGATTTTCTGGCTGAGTGGCACAAGTCAGCTGAGGACAGTGCTTGGAGCTGTTGCAGGAAAGGCGCAGGAACCAGGATTGGCTGGACTGAAGGGAGTGTCGCTGGAACTCACTGTCTAGGCACTGGAGGACATCAAAGAAGGCCACGTCTTCCTCCTCCTTCTCTGACTGAGCTCCCTTCACAGGGCATTTGGTGGGAGGTGGTCTCTTCTCAACATTTTGTCTTGGTTTTGGCCACCTTCTCATCCTTAGAGAGGAGAATGGATTCCTTATGCCATTGACCTTTCACCTTGGGGTTAATCCAGTGTGTAAAATGCTTCATCTTATTTCCCAGTCCAGCTTCTGCAGCTTCTGTAAGGGTAGGGCTCTTGTGAGTATGGGCTGTCTTTACCAAACCCTGCTCTTGGCCCTACAAAGTGTGGCCCTACAAATTTTGGCCCTGCAAAGCTTGGATCTGAAAAATGTGGCTCCTTTAAATGCTGGACTTGCAAAATGTGGGCCAGCAAGTTGGTCCTGTAAGATCTGGCCCTTTAAGCCCTGAACACTCCAGATCTGACATTCTCAGGAATCCTTGTTTGGGTGAGGTCATTCAACTTGCCCTAACAGCCTTACAGACTATTCTTATCTGGTCCTTTTGTCCCAAGGAATCCTGGAGGATGCTCTAGGAACTCAAGGTAAAGGGAGAAGCTGGTGAAGGTACTGACAGGGGGCACTAAGCTGACAGGATGGAGATGGTGGCTCTAAAGACCCAGACAGATCCTTGCTAGTCCCTACTCACTCAACACAACCATCCTGGCCAAACTAAAATTTTACCTGAGAAAGATCCTGGAGATACATTTGGGAAGTCAGGGGCTCTGGGGGTTCTACTTAGAAGTGTCCCTACTGGAACCCTGGCAGGGTAGATGTTCTCTCTGGTTGGAGAGAGCCTCGGCGCTGCACCCCCTTCTCTGTGATTCTCTGATGCTTTGAGTTTCCCTGGGTCCTCTGTTCTCCCTGCTGGTGCAGGGAGTTATTCTCACCTTTGCAGAGGCCTGGGGCTCAGGGATCTTCCAGGCAGGGGTTGTTCACACTGGCCTCCAGCTGAACACAAGCACCTGGGCCTCTGTTATGTCCCCACTGGGCTGTGAGATCCTGGAGGCCCATGGTAAGAACCATTAGGACTGCTCTGGAACTAGCTTGCTTTTGGTTCTGCTGCACTGCACAGGATTTATACACTGCTGCTTACATGAGATTGAGCCAGAGACTCTGTTGGGCCCCCAACAGGCCCAGGCACCATCTTTGTGATTGGAGATTGGCTAGTGATTGCCAGAGCCATGGCCTTGGAGAGTGCCACAGTACAAAGGGCCCACAGTTCTGACAGGAAGGCCAAAACTTGTCTCCAGTTTCTCAAAGCCTCCCTGGGAGGGCACCTGGGTAGGTGCTAATCAAGGTGATCAGTAACAGCGTCTGGTGAGGCTTACTGCTGCCGGTTAAGGCCTGTCAGTATTCAGGGTGTCACTTCCTAGTCCATGTAGGGACTGATGGCTGCCTCTATGTCTTAAGGGCTTACTTTCCGGGGTGCAAGGGAGCCGAGTTGCTGCCAGGGCCCCTGGAATTCTGCAGACCCAGTGATTTGAGTTCCAACCGCTGCAGATGTGGGCAGGGACAATCCCCTAGCAGATCCTCTCATATTTTTAGCCAATATGGCTCTACAACATCACCATGGCCTGGGAAGCAACTGTGGGCTGGCACTACTGGCCACAATAGATCAGAAGAGGCCACTATCCCCTCTGGCCTCTGGGTCTGCAGGCTAGGGGACACTCACCCTGGTCAGTGTGCTGCACTGGGGCAGGGGCTGCTGGTCAGCAGGGGATAGAAACAACTGGTTGGACTGCTGGATCTTCTGGGGCAGACCCCAGCAATAGTAAATCAAACAGCCAAATCAACCACTTCTGAAGGTGGAACTCCACCAGCTCAGGGCATGCTCCAGGAAAATACCACCTTGCTCTTGAGGACTGAAATGGGCTTCCCCAAACAGGTAGGCCCCTAAGTCTCAGGAGCCAGGCTTCAGCATGTCTCAGGGATTATGCTGTATGGTTCTATGCATCTACAGAGATCTCTGGGCAACAGCTGGCAAGCCCCACAGAAGCTGGAGCTGCCTTTGAAGTGAAGGTGCCACTGCAAGGCTTCACACTTGGCCAGAGTCAGAAATGGGACATTGACATAGGCTTTTCGATAGAAAGATGAAGAAGCCCAAATTCAGGTATGTGGGAAGAAGGTGGGTCTAACTGAGGTAAGAGGAAATTTTAGACAGTTTGGACATTAACAAATCATTGAAGAAAAAGAAACCAGACTCCACTTTTGTGGCAAGATGTCTAGGGGTGGACCAGGGACTCAATGTGCATAAAAGAGGAACCATAGAAAGGCAGCTGTGTTCTGCTGCAGACAGGACACTGAGGCCTCAGCATGACCCCCAAGCAATGGACAGAGACACTTATAAACTAAAAGATGATAGAGGGTAGAGCCAGAGTCACAGAGTTTGGGATTTGTTTGCAGTGACATCTGCACTGGATCCATAGCGTATCCTTGAAAAACAGAAAGTTTGGGTGGACTTGCTTACCTCCCATGAACCCCAGGTCAGGGAGATAAAAGCCTATCTTTTCAACAGAGGCCTTAGAGGTAGCATTCATGATGAAAGAAATGGTAGTGTTCTCCCCCAGGCTTGGAAAATTTGGGGGCCGTGTGACATAAGTTGCCACAGGAATCTTCCACAGATCTTGGGAGCCCTCAGGTGTAGAAATGCATGCATTTATATACACATACTTAAAGATACATCAGGGATTTGGGGACACAGGAACATGAGATGAAGGGAATGAAAGGTCATGGGGTATTTTAGGTTTGTGAGCTTTGGGTTCAGGGAAAGAAAGGGAATCAGATATTCAAGGGCTGCTGGCCTTATTTCTCTGGAACACATTCAGAGTTGCTCTTCTTCTTGTCTTGCTGGTTCACAGGAACCCTAGGCTCTTCAAGGCTTGAAGAAGACAGAGCTCCCACGTCCCAGGGTACCTCTGGCCCTTGACATTCCTGCCTTAGCTGCTGGTCGTCCGCCCAGTATTCGTGGATGCTGACTGCACTGGCAGACTTGGTGGTTGACTTAGTGGCTGACCTGGCAACTAACTGGGTTAAGGATTTCTGACTTGTTAGTTGTGACACTATGCGGGTTGCTGATGGAAGCGAAAGCTCTTTGGAGTGCAGGGAATCCTGACTCTGCTCAAAAGAGAGACTAGACGTGGACAAAACCTCTAGGCAAGAGAAGCCCTGCGATGTCCCCAAAGAAGTAGTGGTGGTCAGGGTGTTCTCACCCGATAGCAACTGCTGAATCTCCAGAGCCACAGCATTGCAGGTTTGGCAGCAGGGATCTGCACACAGCAGCTGCCGCACGCTCCCCTCCTGAGGAAGCCAACCCTGGCTGGGAAGGGAAACATGGCAACCGTTTGTTACTGATGGAATGACATCTGCCTCTTTTCAAGGGTGTGGCCTGGAGATTGGCCTGTAAGCTCTGTGTTCTACCCCCAGGTTGTTTTTGCCACGGCTATGCTCTAGAAACATTCAGCAGGTTAGGGCTAGCTAACCTGGGCAAAGTCTCAGACAACTGAAAGGAACGCAGGGCCTTGAGAGCCTGGGAGGTGGGTGAGTTCTCTGCTGACCTGTGCTGAGTAGCTGAACTAGGAGAAGGCAACCAGGCAGATGGGGGAGCCAATGGTTAGCTGATGGCGCAGCACCAGGAACATCACCAGATAGAACCTGGAGTCAGCCTCGTTTGGGGCTACGGAGGTCCTTGTGGGAACTCTGCATTCTGGGGATTACAGGGCATACACAACATCTCTTGGAAGACAATCCCTATTCTCTAGAGATCTCAAGAGGGGGACAATATGACAAGCTCCTGCCTGAGGGCTGTCCCAGGAACTGGCCTCCCTGAAGACAAAACCAGAGGAGGTACGTCAGCAGGGTCCAGGGGTCTGCCCTTGAAAGGGTCTAGCTGTAAAGAGAATATGAAAATGATGACTGATTTATGCACTTAATTAATTATCTATCCTCCTAACTTGTCTTGTGGTTGAGCGAAAACCCATGTAGTTTTAAATCCTGCACTAGTCAAATCCTGAATTCCAGGACCTTTGTGAGCCTAGCCCAGAGCAGAACTGCAGGACTCCTGTCTCCTGAGGCGTCTGATCCCACCCTCTCCTCTGGGAACCCCCAACCAGTGTCCAGGCTCCACTGTGTCTGGCTACGTCCCAGCCATTATGCTCCTCCCCAACCCTGCCCCAGGCCAAGCGGAGAAATGATCACAGGCCAGGCTGGGAGTTGGGAGACTGCAAAGAACAAGAGATCACCTTCTCATGACAGAGAGCAGCTCCCACGGCTTCTCAGCTTCTTCCCGGGAAAGTTTCCTAGCTGAGAAACCAGGAGACAGCGTTACATGGAATGGGAGAGGATTCAGGGAACATCCTACAGGAAGCTGGAGACCTTTGAATGACAGGAGACGGCAAACCCCAATAGCCAGTGCCCTGAGGCACGTCTGACTACAACTTAACCAGGTATGATGTGCTCTCCTGGACCTAATCTCCTTTGACCTTCACAACCACACTGTGAGTGAGACAGCATCATCATGCCCATTTTATGGATAACAAGACTGAGAGCTGAAGTGACGTCCACCGGGTCATAAAACTAGTAAATGACACAGTTAAGGACAGAGTCCTTACTTCCTCACTCCCCTACTTCCTCTTCACTCCCAGAGGTAAGGTGGAGAATTCTGGAACATTCCCAGGCTCTGATTTCCCACCCAAAAAAGTCTTCTGGGAGAATCTGTCAACTTGGGGAAATTGGGCCTTCAGTGGTTAGAGCACCTGGTGCCTGGCACCAGGGGTCATTGAGGGACAGGGCTCATGGGAGCCTCACCCACAGTGGAGAGAAGTCAGAGCAGAGACTGTAACGTTACCTCTTGATGTTTTATCTTTAGCCCTTTGTTTGACTCTCTGGTGATGCTTAAAGGCAAAAGACAGTGTGAAGCTGGGGTGCTCTCTTCTTTTCATGTCTAAACTGAGACAAAACCTGCAAATATTTCCCAAGCTTTTTCTGTGTTCCAATTTTACACATTCTCCTACCTTTCTTTTTCCTACTCTACCTTTTTCACACCATCATTTCCTTTCTCTTATTTCTGATTCATTTTTAGGCTCTTCATACTCCATACCTCCACCCCCATTCCCTGAAGAAGTTCTGTGGAGAGATCAGGATAAGACAAGAGAAAGGGAGGAACGGTGGTACAGTAGCCAAAGGACCTTAGCCATCCAAGGCCCTAAATGTCCACCAACCAGAGGAATCACCCAAATATGAAGCTGTTCTGGGATCCAGTGAGGAAATTTATTCCATTAAAAAAAAAAACAGGGGTAAGGGGTTAAGGGTAACAAGAGACAGTGAGGGGATAAAACCTTGATCAAGGCTTAATTGGTTCAGTTGTGGTCATAGTGTTTCCCTACCAGCAGCAGCTCCTGTTAGGTCCCAATCTTAAATCTTGGTGATTCTTTCTCACTTGCCAAATAATTAATGGGATAATGATGATGGAACCATAAGTGTAAAGAGGATATGCAACATCCCACAGAATAAAGGTAGGCCTCAACATAATCTAAACCTCACTAGCCATCCCCCTTTCTAGGCTTCCTAGACTTTCAGGATCTTAGAACCTAATGCCTCCAAATTCTAGACCTATCGTCTCTGCCTCACAGAGCACAGAACCAGACCAGTAGACTGCATCAAAAAGCCCTCCTGTTTCCCGTCATGCATAGCATCACAGACCTTTATTTGTCTAGGAGAAACTCATGTGACACAGTGCAGAGCCTGAGCCTAAAGGTGCCAAGTCACAGGAAGCAAATACTCTTTCATGCTCTATTCTCTTTATCCTGTTGGCTCAGCCTTCTTCTTTCAGATAATAGTCTGGCATCTATCCCCAGATAACTGAGTCTTTATGTACACTGCATGCCCTAAAACAGAGACAGTGGCTACTGTCTCTCTTCCTCCTACTACAAAGGAACTCCATGAACTATAGCACCTGTACTGGGAAGATAACTAGAAAACACACAAGAGGACAGTGCACACATTGTCTTGTTAAGTCTTGGACAGTGAACGTTTTGATGCCACAGGCAATAGGTAGTCAGTATCAAGAAGTTCAGGAAAAGAACAGTGATTAATGTGACAAGGAAAGGACATAGCTTCTGTTCTTTTAAATAACTTACTGAAGAGTTAAAGAAGGAGTCCTCCCAGTCTCATTCCCTAAGCTGGACAGTGTCAAAGGTACAAAAACATTTGAGTCATGTTACCTGCCTGCTCTCAAGACACTTAAAAACCTAGTTTCAAAGACAAGATTAATTCACAATCAAGAACCCACCTTATTAAGAGTTGAATCAAGAACCAGCCTTACTAGGAGTTGGGAAAGAGAGGTGTAGGGAGTTATTTAATGGGTACAAAGCTTCTGTATGGAATGATGAAAAGGTTCTGAAAATGGATGGTGGTGATGGTTGCACAGCACTGTGAATGTCCTTAATGTCAGGGACAAGTACTCTTAAAAGTGGTTAAAATAGTAAAGTTTATACTGAGTATATTTTACCACAATTTAAAAAACAAAAGGCCAAGAAAACCCAATTGTTAGCATGAGGGGTTTTTTTGCTACCTATAAGGAAGAATATTCTGAAAATAATTTGGCAAAATAATGGATTAGTGAATGTTTTTCCTAAATGTCCTTTTTTACAGAACAAAATAAATACAAAATAGATCCTTACATTTAAGATAATTTAAGAAGAGTCTCACCGTGAAGACAGGATGAATTTGAGCCATTTCAACATCTTTCCTGAACTTGTAAATTCCATAATACAGGAATGAGAAGACTTTTCCAACTAAAGAGCACTGAATGACAGGTTAACAATAATCAGTGAAAAAGCATCTTGCATCAGCTTTTTAGCAGTAGATCAAGATACGTACAAAGTGGCTTGAATCTTTTATTACTGGTGTTATTCCTACCAAACCAAGCTCTGGCTTCCTGCAGCTGCTGCCGGCCTCTATGCTGCTGCAAAGGTTCTCAGTCTCCCGTTAATCTGACCCAGTATGGCACTGCGTGGTACTTGGGGTCCTCCTTCCCTGGACTATGAATGTAGGTAATTAATAAACTTCATTCAGTCTTATAGGTCCAGTGTCAGATGTTGCTCGTTCGGCCATCCCCAGAACCCCAGGGTTACCAATGGGATGAAGAGGAGGTGCATAGGACACCATATCTCCTACACAACCAGCTCCTGCTTCCTGCAGCTACTGCTGCAACATTGCTTAGTCTCCCATTAGCCTGACCTCTTGGCCCCAGACAAAATCACCAAATTTGGCAACACTGGCACCAGCTCCAACGAGTATACTATTTACTTAACAGATAATCCACAGCCACTGTCATCCCACTAAACTGTTAAAACCATATGCTGCAAACTGCTCTATAGCAACTTACCCACCCTTGCTCCTCTGTCTCAGAGCCGAGGTAGAGTCAAATGACAATCTTACGCCTTTCTGCAGAGTAGACTTTTAGTACTGGTTTATTTATTGATTTGGTACCCACTGACAGAGGGTGCTTGTGTGGATAGGACAGTGGGATCAGCGTCTTCCTAAACAAGGGCACATTCATGTAATGAACACACTATCGTTTTTCTTTTTTTAATGGATCATTTCCTTTTTCTTTAATTTATTTATTTAATCTATTTATTTTTGGCTGCGTTGGGTCTTCGTTGCAGTGAGCAGGCCCCTCATTGCGGTGGCTTCTCTTGTTGCAGAGCATGGGCTCTAGACGCGCGGGCTTCAGTAGTTGTGGCATGCGGGCTCAGTAGTTGTGGCTCGTGGGCTCTAGAGCACAGTCTCAGTAGCTGTTGCACACGGGCTTAGTTGCTCCGTGGCATGTGGGATCTTCCCGGACCAGGGATCGAACCTGTGTCCCCTGCATTGGCAGGCGGATTCTTAACTACTACACCACCAGGGAAGTCCACACACTGTCTTTTTTTTTTTTTTTAAACGTCTTTATTGGAGTATGAGTGCTTTACAATGGTGTGTTCGTTTCTGCTGTATAACAAAGTGAATCAGCTATACGTATACATATATCCCCATATCCCCTCCCTCTTGCATCTCCCTCCCACCCTCCTTATCCCTCTCCTGTAGGTGGACACAAAGCACCGAGCTGATCTCCCTGTGCGGCTGCTTCCCACTAGCTACTTTACATTTGGTAGTGTATATATATGTCCATGCCGCTCTCTCACTTCGTCCCAGCTTACCCTTCCCTCTCCGTCCCAGCTTACCCTTCCCTCTCCCCGTGTCCTCAAGTCCATTCTCTATGTCTGCATCTTTATTCCTGTCCTGCCCCTAGGTTCTTGAGAACCAGTTTTTTTTTTGTTTTTAGATTCCATATATATGTGTTAGCATACGGTATTTGTTTTTCTCTTTCTGACTTCCTTCACTCTGTATGATAGTCTCTAGGTCCATCCACCTCACTACAGATAACTCAATTTAGTTTCTTTTTATGGATGAGTAATATTCCATTGTATATATGTGCCACATCTTCTTTATCCATTCATCTGTCGATGGACACTTTAGGTTGCTTCCATGTCCTGGCTATTGTAAATAGTGCTGCAGTGAACATTGTGGTACATGACTCTTTTTGAATTATGGTTTTCTCAGGGTATATGCCCAGTAGTGGGATTGCTGGGCCAGTAGTGGGATTGCTGGGCCGTATGGTAGTTCTATTTTTAGTTTTTTAAGGAACCTCCATACTGCCCTCCATAGTGGCTGTATCAATTTACATTCCCACCAACAGTCAAGAGGGTTCCCTTTTCTCCACACCCTCTCCAGCATCTACTGTTTGTAGATTTTTTGATGATGGCCACTGTTGCTTTTAATGATGTGGGCATGGACCTTCAGCTTTGCCCTTCCTGCCTCATGGTTTATCGTGAACGGCAAACAAGGGAGATGAAGTACATCAAAGGCCTCTGTGGACTCTGGAGGGCTACACAACTGTAAAGGATTCAGATTCGTCTGTTTCTAGAAAACTTGCTAAAGCTGGACCCCGCTTGCATGATAATGCTACAGTGCCACAATTACTGTAATAGTAGAATTTCTTCAGGAAACTGTTCATGATTACTGATTCATATGCACCATGGGTCATATCACTGCCTGATAAAGAAAAATCCTGACAGGACACTGATGTGATTTTGTCCCTCCACACAAGCCTTACTTAGGAGTTTTGCTGTGTCTCATTCTCAGAAAACACTAGTGAATACCTTAGATGTCTCAGGTGATGGGGACAGAGGCATAGCTGCTTCCATTCAGAAGCAATATTTTTTATATGCTAGCATTTTTATTAATGCCCAAGAGTTGGACAGGAAGAGTTGGACACACCCCAGAGTAGTATCTGCAAGACCACCAGCGCTTCACAGCAGGTTACTACGCTACACAGAAGTGTAGCAAGCAGCTAGAGGCACTAGAGGGCAGCACTTGCCCACCCAATGAGTCCCGAGGACTCCGTTTCAGGAACTTTAAAAGGCCATCTGTTCCAGTGGCTCTCAATCCTGGCCTTACATCACAATCACTGGGAAGCTTGTGAAAATATACATTTCCTGGCCTCACCCCAGACTTAATGAATCAGAATCTCTAGAGGCACAGTCTTTCAATCTATGTATTAAATAAGTGTCAAAAATAATCCTCAAGCAATAGAGCACTGGGCTTTGGGGTGTGTATTGGGGAGCAAATGGCCTCCAAAGAGCAACAATTCTTCCTCCCACCCAAGTTTTACTGAGATATAATTGGCACATAACATTGTATTAGTTTAAGGGGAACAACATAATAATTTGATGTATGTAGGGATTGTGAAATGGTTACCACAATAAGTTTAGTTAACATCCATCACCTTAGAGTTATAATTTTTTTCTTATAATAAGAACTTTTAAGATCTACTCTTTCAGCAACTTTCAAATATATTAACTACAGTCACCAGGCTATACATTAGACCCCCAGAACTTATTAATCTTATAACTGGCATTTTGTCCCTTTTGATCACCTTCATCCATTTCTCCCATCCCCACTCCCTGACACTGGCAACCACCAATCTGTTCTCTGTTTGAATGAGTTTGGTGTTTTCTTTAGATTCCATATATAAGGGAGATCACATAATATTTGTCTTTCTCTATCTGACTTACTTCACTTAGCATAATGCTGTCAAGGTCCATCCGTGTTGTTGCAAATGGTAGGATTTCCTTCTTTTTTATGGCTGAAAAACATTCCATGATATCATCTTCTTTATCCATTCATCTGTCAATGGACGCTTAGGTTGTTTCCATGTCTTAGCTATTATAAATAATGCTGCAATGAGCATGCGTGTACAGATATCTCTTGGAGATAGTGATATCACTTCCTTCAGATATATAACCAGAAGTGGGATTGCTGGATGAAATTTGAAGTAACTATCTGCGGATGATGTTATAAAAAAAAAAATTCTCCTATAATAGGTAAGTTTGGCCATCTCTGGCAATGACCTAACTTAGACAGTGATCTGTAAATGGAAGTTAAGAATTCAGGAACACATGGAAGAAAGGAGAATTGACCCTGACTGAGAAAAAGTACTATGTGGCAGGCCCTTTACACACATCACCTCATTCAGTCCTTACCCTCAACCAGACCCAGGTACTGTTATCCCATGTTATATAGGGGGAAACTGAATCACCTGTAAGTAAAGTAACACTAGCCTGAGGTCACGTAGCAACTTAGTGATGGATAAAAAGTTTGTTTCTAAACTCCACTAAGCCTTGCAACCTTCAATTCAATCAAGTTGAGAGGAAATGGACATAACATATGATTATAAGATGTTTGAAACTGCAGACTACTCACATGTCCAGTTGTTTTTGAAAAGAAGGGCCACAGTAATAAAAGGACTCTAAAACAGGAGCGAAAGAGCAAGGCTGGGTCCAAAGGT